CAGCTCCTGGTTCTTCTCCCCGTGTCCCCGGCCGCAGCAGTGTGCACCTCACACGTGTGCTACAGCTAACGCCTACATTCCACTTCATTTTAAGCATAGGTTCCCAAAAACTTTAAGCTTATCCTCACTCTCAGTGTTATCAGGAAACTGAATAGATGGGGTCTGAGCGTAATACCCGAACAACATCATAGACTGCAAGCTGCTTCCTGAGCCCACTATGCGTGAAGAACTCAAGTATAAGCACAGGGGCTTATTTCAGCTCTCCCCTATCTGCTAACGGGGAGATCAGTGCCTTTTGTTGTGGATTTGAGCTGCTGGATTTGAGCTGTGGATTTGGCCATCCAGCTCCCCAATCTACCGTGACTTGCAGCCACGCTGCTAAGCTGCTAGCCCCAGACCTCCAGCTAAGCCAGCTGTAAATAAAAACAGCTAAGATTAATTTTTTTTCCCTAATAACTTTGACAATGCACCTCACAGCCATTCCAGTGAGCAACTTTGAAGTCGTCTTGAATTTCTGCAGGATTTTCTCTTGTGTTAGTTTCCTTGTCCTTTACTAAGCAAACACAGGACTAAGCGTGATGCTTAAGCTAGCAGGGCTTGAACCAGACACAAAGCTTTGGTTCATTCCCATGACAGAGAGAAGTATAGCTCAGGCTATCACCCCCCATCTTTATCACATGGATTTTACAGATATGTGAGTCTGTTTTAAGTAGCATTTCCCACAGGTAGTCAGTGTGGACTTGCAGTCGGTGTGACTCCAAACTGCAGTTTGACAAAAAAACATAAAGAAAGAAAGAATAAATGTCTCAGTGAGAACAATACCAGCAGGATTTTTCCCTTAGGGGGATATGCTTTGAGGGGCTCTGAAGACAAAATGTCTCCTCTGTATCTGAATGCCAGTGGGGAACTGAGGCCAGCCCCTAAACAACTGGGCGAGCCACAGTCTTCCAAGAGTTACAGGACATGTCCATTGTTTGAAGGGCTTTGACCCTGTGCTGCCAAGAATAGAGTGCATGGCTAAGTGGTGAGACCTGTGCAGCACAGGAGAGGGAGCAGAGCAGCACAGCGGGTTAATGTGACCTTTCCGTGAGGGAAATAGTCTCTCACCTGGGTTAAAATCATGAGCAGATGACAGATCAACATGAGCTTGCTCTGTGTGGCTCGTTGCAGGGCCCCAGGGACATCTCTCAGCCTTATACAACCTCCTTCATGGCACACAGCCCCACTAGCAGCCAGCACAGGACAGCAAGAGGACAAGATGTTCAACACGAGGTGTCAGTGACCATATACCCATTGGCAGAGCCATGCTGAAGCTGCAAGGCTGTAATAAGCCAAGACAATTCCTCAGGAGAGGAATAAGGCACTGCCACCCCTGCCCATCCCTAAACAAAACTCTTCATCTCACTTGCCTACATCACAGGGTTTTATCCAAATTGTTCTTAAAAGCTGCTGTACAAATAATTCAAGCATCCTTAATGTATAGTGCTAAGGGTTTCAGAATGGAGGTACAATGCTCTTTTCAACTTAGTCAACACATATTGTCTTTTATATTTTGCATACACAGTGCAAAGTAATAATAAAAAAAAAATCCCTTGTGATCCATCAAGACCTGACTGAACACATAGAACTTATTCTGCTTTAGCTCTAGCACCATAATTGAAGCACAACTGTTTGGTGTGAGCACTATTACATCAGAAGAAATGTGTCAGTCATATAGATAAAGTGTGTGCAGAAAAAGAATACAAGGCATCTTTAGAAGTGAAAAACAGAATAAGCACAATACTAGAAAGACACAAGTGAAACTATTTGCTCTGTCACCGGTGACTCCTGTGACTTTTGGCAGGTCAAGCCACCTCCCTGGGTAGGTATACGTGCTTTGGAAAGGCTGCTGTGAGACAGCTGGAAGTATTTGCTCTGTCACTGGTGACTCCTGTGACTTTTGGCAGGCTAAGCCACCTCCCTGGGTAGGTATATGCTCTTTGGAAAGGCTGCTGTGAGACAGCTCGAGTGCAGCGTGTGCCCCCAGAGGCAGCTGCCAGACCCAGGCAGGCTCATGAGCTGTCCCAGCCCAGAGCCATGCCCCAAAGCACTGTCACCTTGTGAGCTTCTGCTCTGCAGGGGCAAAGGCACATTTCCATCAGGCTCCTTTCCACAGCTTCCACATCTCTAACCCGGAGACAACAGCACCTCTCTGTGTCCATGGAACAGCACAATGACAAATACCTTTAAAGACTGGGGTATTTTCAAATAAAGTGCTAAAGTGAGGCTATATAAGATCCTTATACTATACCTGAGTCAACCTAAGTACATTCAGAGAAAAGCCACCTCCTTCCTCCAGCTAACATATGACAGTAATACAAAGCCTCTGATCACGGCACAGGGCATGGCTAAGTAAATTAGAGTGACAAACCATGCTGAGAAGGGACCATTTATGTGCATCAAACAGTCCTGGATAAAGAAATTTATAGGGAAATGAGACAAACAAAATGTCAAAGCAATCTCCACAGGGCTCAGTTTAGCTACTTTTTAATGTTGTGCTTCTATTTCTCTTCAGTTTTGCATTCTGAAGCTTCTGTGTATGCTTGAGCAGGGAATACTCCCCGTGTGCATTTTGGTTATAAATGATGAGTACTGACTGGACTTTAAATCTTTTCTTTTTCCAGAACTGAAGCGTGAGGCTCCATAAGTGCCCCCAAGTGGCTTCAATTTCTGTCCTCAACAAAAGACATCGAAAGAAATGCAGGAATGCCTGTCCTAGAGAAAAACATGCAGAAGAAAGAGAAAGATACATGTGATAAAGATGAGACAGTAAGTGACAGTTTCCAGGAAAACAGAAAGAAAAAAAGAGGGTGAAAAAAAAAAAAGGTTGAAGATAGATGACTTAACAGCTTTTAGTGTTAGAAATTAATATAAATTAACATAATAAATGTAAACCTAGCTCTCTTCCAGAGCTGATATCTTAATTTCAGGGAACTCTAGTTATCCTGCAGCAGTTTATAGTCACAAACTTTGATCTAACATGAGTGCTTCCCATATCCAAATACATTTTCCTCTCAACAGCCTGTGAATAATTTCAGTAAATGAAATAATATTACCCAACAGCAGATGCATTACTGTACAGCCAAAGATGTCACATAATTATTTCTGAATAGTGAAGAACTATGAAACTATCACATGTGATTCGTTTTCAAGCTGGTTTAAAAGGTGCTGGATCTGTATGCCTGTAAGTAGCCAACCCCTGGGGTTTAAACCTTTTTTGCTAAGCAGAGTCATGAACTGTACAGTAACCTTACCCAGAAAGATAGGGCCAAAGCCAGGTATCAAAAATAAATGCTATTTGGAACATCTGTTTCTATTGAGGAAGAAGCCAATGACAGAAGAGAGATGCCCTGACTAAACATAGCCTGAAATTGTAGAATTACCATTCTTTAATTTCTGAGATCAGGGGTGCATTACAGGCTAAATTGGATTTGTGTTTCCATTAATAACATCTAATCCTGTGACACTTTATTTTTATGAGTATCTGAAATCTTTATTTTCTAGATAGGGAAACATAATGCAGCACTGATTTTCTGTGGATGTCAAAAGGCAGAGCTGGTGTTTGAGCTCAGAAGACACTCACCCCCTGCCTCCTGTCCTGAGCACCTCCTGCACTCTTCCCACCCCTGCATGCACTAGCAAAGGAGCTTGCAGCTAGCTGTGCTCTGAGCAGCAGGCAGGACTAGGGGACTGCTAGACATCCCTTCCAGCTAGAATCATGCCACAGTCCTGTGATAATGAATGTCTATTACATCAAAAGGTAGTAAAAAATTTTAAAAAATCTGAATTTTACCTGCTTTAGGAGGCAAAAATCAAATTAGAAAAGTAAACTCTCTAAAAGTTTATGGTCTACACAAATCACTAATGGACGAGTGCAGTTGTCTGACTGTCTGTCAACTGGGAGACACAAACCATTCCCTGAGGAACCATGCTTAGAGCATCACAGCCTCCTGCTGTTTCCCAGTCTTCCATGGACTACCTCTTTGCTCAATTTTCCCTCTGCCCCCATAAATCCTCTGGCTTTAAAATGACTAATTATACTTCACTTGGTTAATTCTACATTAAAAAACAAATAAAGCTTAATTGTATGGGCAGCATGAGATTGTTTTCTCCCCAGATAGTACTGGTATCCTGCTCCAAACAGGTTAAGGATAAAGCAAGTATAAACAGAAGCATTTTCTTAAGCCTTTTAGGAGGGCTCTAGGCTGGCTGACAGCAGAGGTTTGGTAGGGTAAAAAACAGGTTTGTTGAGCCTTCTGTGTAGTCAGCACTAATAAATAGACAGAGCTGCATGTTTTCTATTTATGCAGTTTTATAACCAGTCACATTACCAATCAGACAACTACTAACCTACAGTTTTACTGATCACAAATTAAATGCACTTCTTTCCTAATGAAATACCTTCTCTTAATGAATTATTTTATTATGCTTTAATGTATCTGAAGATTTCCTGCAGTCTATCTTGGACTGTATGCTTGCATCATGTCTGTTTGCCTTAGGATTTCTAGAATTTTTTACCAAGGAATATGCTCCTGTTTTCCACTAGCTTCCTGGCCTGTTTGAAATCCTTAATGGCCAAAGGACTACAAATAGAACTAGCAGAGAGGTACCACTGCTTCAGTAGTGCATACAACATCCTAAAATTTTTAGGCACTTTATGACCTAATGAAACCCCACTGAAGTCACACAATTTACAGTAATCAGGCATCTCAACTGCTGAAACAGCATAAATGGATTAAAAAGGGGGATACAATATATTGATCAACAACAGAAGGAGAAAAAAAAATGAAAAGGGAAAAGAGGACACTTTGGGAACAAGTAGAATTATTTGCTTATCTCTGTTTGGGTTCAGGTTTTTTTGGTTTGCTGGTTTCGGTGTTTTTTTATGATTAGGCATTGCCAAAGCTCCCAGTCCCACCACTGCAACAGACCTTACACATGTACCTGCAGTGCATGAAACACTTGGTGCCAGAAGAGCAATTTAGAAAGACTAAGGCCATTGTGGAGCAGTTTGGAATTGCAGGAGGTGTGGGGGAATCTTTGCAGCACATCCTCGAGGAAAAAAGGGAAAAGACTACCAACTGGGTAAGCAAATGCAGACAAGAAAAGTAATTGCTGTGTCAATTGCTCTGTCAGATGGTGCTTGTTACAAACTCTTTGTGATATTCTGTATGTGATCTCTGCTTTCTTTCAGTGGGTCAAGCAAAGAGGGGTCACATCAGGTTCTGCCAAAGGGAATGAATATTTCAGACATACTAGGCTAGGATGTCAAAATCCATGTCATTATTATATTTTCAGATCAACAGTTTGTTGTCATAAATGAGGGAATTTATGCACCAGAGGTCCATGCATGCAGGTGTTAGCTTCACCTGTAGGAAGCACCATATCACATCTGTTTTGGATGTAATTTCTTCCTTCCCATTTAATAACAGGATTTAGAGTTTTTATTAAAATGAAAATGCTTTCTGATAGGGCTGTAAAAAGTGCCATGCATATCCCTCTAGCCAAAGCTCTGATCCAGTCAAATTAGTCTGGAATTGAATACTTTAGTACAGGAATTACTCTTTTTGAATTATACTATTGCCATTCATTGTCACACCATACCAAAAGAGTCACTCTGAAGTACTTACTTCGTTGAATATACACACACATGTATACATCTACATATATGGATATCTCATGGAGACCATGAGGAGACCTCAGGCATTACAGAAGTCCAGCTTTTTGCTTCCCAAGACAGGAAAAGTAAATGAGGTGCAGATAAAATAGATTTTATCATTCCACAAAGTCAGAGTTCATCCTGCTGGCATTAACCATGTCAGAATATGACAGCTGCAAACTAGAAACACTGGTTTTGTTTAAATCCTTCCATCACAGCAAGGAAGAGATACACTGAATGGTTTCATGGATTCAGTGAAATCCTGGAGGCTTGCTACTTATGAGCCCTGTTTGCTTGATATTAGTGAATTTTTATTCTCCCTTAACTTTACAGTTGTGTGATCCTCAAGAAAACTCCATCAAATTGCTGCTATAGTCAGAAAAAAAGGCTACAGTACAGGCAGTGCTTTTATTTTAAAAGCAGTGCTTAATTTCTGAACTACTTGTTGCCACAGTTTGAGGGGCCCACTAAATGCCACCCAATGTTGTTTAATTATTCTGGTCAGAGAACTTCATGTTTTTAGTGGCTAAATTAACCATCACTTACTGTTCCTGATAACAAACAGTGTTTCAGGAGACAAGGGTTCATTTAACCATTTATACATCCTTCCTCTGTAATTTGCATGCTGTGTTTTCTGAAATCTCTAAATACTGGTTATTAAAATTAAATAACTGAGTCTTAAGATAAACTAAAAGTGGTTTTATTTGAAATTTAACTCGGCAGGAGTACAGCTCTAGCCTGTTCTCCTGAAGACTCCAGAGACTGTAAAGGGAAGCATCTGTTCTAACAGCATTGAATTATCTCAGAGGAAAACTTTTTCAAGTGATGCATGCATTTGTAATTATTTTTGCATAATTTCATTGTTGTTTATAGTTACTATATGCAAAGCGTGCCTGCTAAACTCAGAAAGACCATTTGATCTTTTTATGAAAGCCTCCATTTTTCCAAATAATGAGTCTTTAGGCTCTGTTCAGACATAAAGGAATACAGTTACCATAAATCTGTGTTTTCAATAAAAATGGTTAAAAATTTAGTATGGGTATCTGTCAAGTTCAAGCATCAGGAATCTGCATTTGTGTCCGTGGACACAGCAGGAACTGTCCACATACCAGTACCTGCAGGATGGAACCATTAGGCTTGGAAAACTCTTTTCTCATTCTGTCTTTCTACAGAACAGTATCCAATGGTTAACAACGGAGCATCTGGGCATCACTGACAAGTATTTGAAGCCCCCTGAGGAAATCCATCACTAGCAAAATTCTGCCCATCTCTTAAATCCATCCCAGTCACTACCCGAGAGTCAGCAGTTAGCACGTTGTACTCAAACTTTTTTGTTGGAGACAGAAGCAAACAACAAAACACCCAAACCACCAGAATGTGGAGCTTATTTACTTTTTAATGGAACACACTGTAAATCACCATTGATTGCAAAACAGGATTATGGAATTGTGGCTGATTCCAGCCGAGCTGAGGTCACAGCGCCCAGAGTGAAAGTGCTCAGCAGCTCCATTCATCAGAGCCCAGGCCTGGCACCAGGAGCACCCAGCACTCTCCCCTCACCCCCAGGCTGCCTTTCCTCACGTTCCTCACAGCTTTAAGATTTCTTGTCCCCTTCCCTTAGGTGTTTAACTACTGGCTGGATGACATGTACCTCAACAACCGCCTGGCTCTTCCAGTGAATTCCAGCCCAGCAATTATCTTTGCTCGACAGTCTTTCAAGGATGTGAATGACCAGCTGAGGTAATGTACCACACCTTTGCAGCTTTTGCTAGATGGAAGGATAGTTTAAATGCACTGGTTTTGCAAAAGGACTATCAACTTTCATTAAAAAATAAGGGCTGTAACTGTTAAATGATGTCCTACTAGGCCTGCTGATTGGGAGCAGTGTTTCTGGGGTTACTCATACTGATATGCAGAAATAAAGGTGTCATGACTATTCCATTTATTGAACCCAAAAAAACTGCCATGGGATTTATAACTTTTTTAAGGAACATTTGAAAAAGCTTTTCATTGTATAGTTCAAGTAAATAATTTTGCAGTGGAAAAAGAATACTAATTCCTGACACATTGTTTCAAGGACATCAATCTTTAACAGGCCATTGCTATGACTTGTAGCCACCCTGCAAACTGAAAAGGCCTTGTAGGCATGAAATTGTCTCTCTCAGCTGCCCAAAAGGGCATCAGCAACACAGAGGATCTAAGAATAAGATGTTAGAAACCATTCCTCCCCAAGAACACTGCTTCCTTCAGGCCTATCCTTCCCAGCCCAGAACTGACCTTTCTCCTTTGAGCTGTTGTGGGCAATTACAGTCATTTAAAAAATGAAAAGGTAAGCAAGTAGCCAAGCACAGAATATGTCTCTCCAGACACCCTTAAAACAGGATTCCATTCTTCAGCCTTTGCCAGAACATTTTCTCCTTTTAAAACAGTAAACCAGATCAAATCTACCTTCACAGAGTGCAATTTTCCTTTTTGCTTTTATCACTCACTAGCTGCTCATTACTGAAAGAATTCACTGCATGTGAATTTATGCTATTATAAATTAGCCAGAATCTTGGAAGCTGATAGGTGTTATTTTAACATTTTGTATAGACAGCCAGTGTATCTTTTTACTTTCCATAGATCTATAAATGCTTCCATTCATTACTGAGTAAATTTATCGTGCACACAGTCTCTGAAAAACCTCCACTTTGCATTTTTCTAATGCACGTGCTTTAACAGGGAAATATTTCCCTCAGAGCTTCCCATTCAGACACAGTGCAAATGGGCAGCGTCAGGAAATAATACACCTGTCTGCAGCTCTGTAGGAAGAATATCTGCTTAGGACAGGAAATGCTCTAATAAATTGGACACCTTATGAGTATTGATATTGAAACCCACGTTAAGGATTCTATTAAATATTCAGCCTCTGCTCCCATTCTCTAAATAAATGCTTTCAGGCTTCCTTCTGTGGTAGTCTGTTTAGCCATTAGAAGGGACCATCTATAAGATTTCATATTTCTCTTGACATGAATTAATTTAGGGTTTGCTTGGGGGTGGGAGACTCTTCTTGCCAAGCTAGAGGACTTTTTCTCCTTATGCTGTGTCATCAATCATTCAGGCTCTCTGTCTCTCAGAAACAGCACAGTGTTGCCAAATGACAAAAAACTGATGTCACTTCTGTCTGCTGCTTGCAGGTTTGCTGCCAATCTCATTTCAGGAGTGCAAGACTATAAAGCTTTACTGGACACGTAAGTAGCTTGGAAGGAGAGCTGCTGCTTGTGTATCTGCAGGGCTTCTGGCTCAAGGGTGCTCTAACATGCCCAAAGTCAGGCTGCATTGCACCTCTCCACCATTTGGAAGGGCTGGGGCACCAGCATGCTTCAGGGCAAGCGCTCCAGCAATTTTTTAATGCACTTTCTGCTTTATTGCTGCAATCTAACAGGCTGGAGAAGGATTCTTTTTGATGCCCAGTACTCATTGCTCTTGCACGTGAAGCGCAGCCCAGCGGGGACACAGAATCTGCCTGGAACACACCAGGAAACCCACAGTCTGCAGTCCCAAAGAGCAGCAGCACTGCAGTTAGACAGCCTGCACCCCTTCCCTGGCAGCAGAAACCTGGCCAGGCTGCTGCTCCCCCTCCTTGCACTCTACAGCCCATTTAGAACATCAGACCTTCCACCCTCTGCTGAAGAAACAACGCCTCCTGCCAGGAGAAAGAAGCCTCACCACAGGCAGGCTAGTTCAGTGGCTAGTAAAAATAAGAAGTTACTTTAGGCCATTGTTGCTTGCTGTATAGAAGCACTGGGGAAATCCGTGACTCAGTCATGTGTGAGGAAGCTTATTGTTGAGCCCCCTATGTAAGGGCTTAACCTCACCTAGTATGTTCCAAGTTTACTACTGAAATCACTGCTCCTCAAAGAACAGAGGGAGCAGAAGGACAAGCCCAGTGGACACCATAACATAGTGGGGAGGCATTTTCCTCTCTGGAAAAAGAAGGGGCCTATGTGATAACACTTTAACCCACATGTATTTGGATAAGTAAGGCAAAGTCCATTCTCAAACAAGAAAGTCCCTATCATCTCTGATCTAAATAAAAGAAAGAGGAAGAAGCTGTTCAGTTTTTCACTTCAGAATTCTGACAGCTCCTCTGAAAGCCTAGAAGAGGTACTTATTTAAGAACACGTGCTTGTGTCCAAGATACACCACACAACTGCATCCACCAGCACTGGCATGCTGTGAAGAACTATTGCATACTAATGTAGTTCATTGCCTCTTTATACAACAGCATCTGAGATGAGATAAAGAAACCCCATTGCTCAAACAAAGGATAATTTAAGTTCTTATAATTTTGACCTCACTACACTAGATCCAAAGACTCTTGTGATCAGATTTACTTGCTTTAAATCAATAATAATTTAAATCCTCCCTACTGTGTCCTCATATTGTTATTACTGTTTTCCTGTCACTCCTCCTGTATAATTGTGAGGGCACCATAATTGTAATATTTTCCATTCCTTATTGCTGGGGAAGGACTTCTGCTTGCTTCTCTTGGATCATCCCACATGCAGATGCACATTCCACACTCCAGCCCAAAGCCAGGCATTTTAGCTTTAACTGTGCAGACAGTCCATGCAGTTGCTGGGTCTAACTATTTCAAACAAAGCCTAACACATGAGTTATAAGATCTTACACAGACATCTCCTAAATCAGTACGAGATTTTCTGGTGCCAGCAGGCAGGATGAGTAACCCCTTTCTTAACTGCTATAATTACAGATTGTCTTCTCTACATCTACTGTGCTATCCCACTGTTTTCAGTCATCATAGATGCTTTTTAAAACTTTGTTAGATATAAACAGATTTCTGCAGTATGCAAAATGTGGGAAGAGAACACTAACAACCCTGTTCTGCTGATAAGGAACAGAAAAACTAATAAGCACCTGTACAAGGAATTAACTGATACAGAGTTTAAGAGCCAGAACTAAAGTTGATATCCTTGGTTTAGAACTGCAGCAGTCCTAAAGAGACAGTTAACCAAGCTAAACCAGCATAAAATGTTACCCCTTATCAGCTGTATGACAGTAACCCTCCTGATGTGCTGCTTTGCCCCCACCCCTTCCCTGGCAGGCTGGAAGCTTGGTCTTCTTTTGCTGAGGGAAAAAACCTCTGCACTACAAGATCTTCCTCCTGTAGTCTCTGCAGCCTCTCCTGGGAGAGAGCACCATTATTTCCTGCTGCACTGTCAGTGGGATATTTTATAATCCATAATCATAATTGTGATATTTTTCTTTTTTTTTTTTTTCCTGGCCACTAAAGAAGCCTTTTAGGAAGTGTTATTTTCACATTCTTTCCAATAAAAAGAGAGTAAGTTCTCAGCACCCTGCCCCATAGGTATAAGAATTAGCACATGATCGAGGCTCTCTGGAAAAGAGAAATTCCCTCTGTATTGTCCAGTTGCTCCAGTTCATCAGGCAAGGCCCTCTCACACACTCTGTAGCCACAACTGTTTTGCAGTGAACTTCATCAGTACTTTTTTTCAAGGTACTGTGTCTTTTCCAGCTGTTCTGCTGACTTCCACCCTGGCAAGTTTCTGGGGTCCCCATTCACGCAGGCTTCCCACGCACACTGCAGAGCTGCTTGTGACCTGCTATTCTTTCCATTTCCACCAGATGATAATGCAATTGCTTAATGAATATGCATGAAGCTGCCAGGAATGATGTATTTAACTTTGGTATGGGAATTCATCTATTTCCCTTATACTGTAATCTCATTTTATTATTCAATTTGTGTTATACCTGATCTAATTGTAACAGAACAAAGGACAGATTAGATTTCTTTTCCTTTCTCTGTCTCTCTCCCTCCCCCCTTTTCCTCTGGCTTTGTTTTTCTCCTTCTCTCTCTCCAGCCATGCTTTACCTGTTGATTTTGCTCGTGGACAGCTGTCTGGTCATCCTCTCTGTATGAAGCAATACTATGGACTCTTTTCTTCCTATCGTCTTCCAGGACATACCAAAGACACCCTCGTGGCCCAGAAAAGCAGTGTAATGCCAGAACCAGAGCACATCATTGTTGCTTGTAACAATCAGGTAAATGAATGGGGTTTTTTTATACCTTTCTATATTTCTTAGTCTGCTTAAATTCACTCCAGAAAACCTAATCTAATCACTGTTCAGAAACACAATTAACATGCTATGTATGAGCTCACTTCGTACCAAGCACTTGCTGTCAATAATTCCAAAAGATGCTTCTGCAGCATTTTTTTTTGCACTTAGCCCACGTTATGTTCCAAGTACAACGAGGCAGACAGGAGGAATGTGGCAGAATTCATTCGCTTTCTCAGTCAAACAAAAATGTTTGTTAAACAGAAGTGAAACCACAAGAAAAAAAACCAAATTCTTATTAGAGTGCATTTGCTGGAAATGCTCTTCTTTTGACAGTCAAATATTGGCATACACTGCATGGCTTATATACCACCATCCTGTGCAGGGGGGCCCAAGCTCTGCCTGAAGAAGGCAGAAATACTGAAGCATGAGAGTGAGTCTGCTCCAACCACTAAATGCTGTTGAGCAGCAGAGTTTAGTGGCTGGACTGAGCACCTTGTAGCCCCCTTTGACTATTTGGAGTACTGGAGCTGTGCCTGCAGGCCACCTTGCAACGAGGGGGTACATCCCAGTGATTTCCTTCTCTAGGAAATCCTATTCTTCAACTCAATAGGATGTTCTCTAGATTCTCTGTTATTTTTAAACAAATAATACTATGGAAATTATTCGTATACTTCTTGATTTCCAAATAATACTATGGAAATTATTCCTATACTTCTTGATTTCATCTCTGCAGGTGTTTTTAAGCTTGTTCAAATCATGTATGCTTTATCTGAGCCCGACACACAAACTCAAAAGAAGTCCCCTATCACAACTGGCATCACACTGGTGTCCAAACACAGGAGGAGGGAGCACTGGGGCAGTCCCCAGTGGTTTTGTGCTCTGTTGCCTGCAGGCCTAGATCTCCAGGCAAGACTTCAGCATCTCAACACCTACCCAGGCAAAAGAAAAGCGTTGGAGCAGTAAAGGTCCAACCCATCTGTGACCGTTCTGATTTCTGTCATTTTTTTTTCCCAGTTTTTTGTTTTGGATGTGGTCATTAATTTCCGTCGTCTCAGTGAGGGAGATCTTTTCACTCAGTTACGAAAGATAGCCAAGATGGCAGAGAATGAAGAGGAGATGCTGCCTCCAATTGGCCTGCTGACAACAGATGGAAGAACAGAGTGGGCAGAGGCCAGGACGATCCTTATGAAAGGTTAGCAGCAGCAATCCCAGCTTTCTCCTCTTCACCATCTTCCTCCTCACCATCATTGCCTTTCTTTGCTGGGAGTGAACATCACAGCAAATATATGTGCAACCTCACTGCTTAATTTTCCTAGCAGGAGGAAACTCCATGCCTGTCAGTGTTCAGATGTGTGGTACCAGAGGAGCAGAGGATGTGGTTGGGTGCTTTGGCTGTGTATGTTTAGGTGTTTTAGCTCTCACTCCATTCTCTGTTTTTCATCACATAAATTACATTACATCTTATTTTATGACTTGTCTCTTTCTTCACATCTGTTTTGTACCAATAGGAATGATATATCCTCCTAGCTTTTGGCAACTATTAGACATCTTTCATCTCATCTAACAAAGGCAAGTTAAAACACCTATTGAATCTAGCTGTGTGCTCTTTCTAGTGATTGGAGAAAACCACAAAGTACCAGGGCTGATTCATCCAAATCTTAAGTATCTAAAAGAGGTCACACCAGTGACTATCTGGGAATAAGTCTCTCTCTCTTCCAACAACAGGCAGCATTTAGCCATCTTGGAGTCTGGACTCAAATGCCTGACTTTGAAACAGAGGAAAACAAAGGGTGGGATGAGTCACCTCTGCCACTTCACACATACACTAAATGATGGAAACACCATCTTTTTGCCATTGTCGATGACTTAGGTATTCACTTTTCCCTCCTGAAATAAATGTAAACTTATATTTTTATCTCCATGTGGTGGTTTAACTTCAGCCAGCAGTTAAGCACCACACAGCTGAGTGCTCACTCCTCACACAGCAATACTACAGAAACTTTTGCTCTTTTACCAACACCCAGGAATATACAAGAGTTGCCAGTTGTCCCAAAATACGTTTGTCTTCCCAAGGAAGGTCTTACCTTTTCTTATTCAAGTTTGTCCATGCTTATAATAACTTTATATTAATACATACAGACGTTCATGCCACGCTTTTAAGTAAAACAGTGAGTACCTTGAGATCTGCAGCAACATCATCTTAAAGAAAAAAAGACAAACCAACAAATCTAGCAGAAACATCTCCATAGTGTTTTTGGATTGCCTGGCACTTGCCAAAATATTAGTTATAATGAGGAAGCAAACCAACTCAGTTATGCAGCTGAGAACAACAGATTCTGCACTAGCAAATATTACAGCACCATGATGTAAACCTTCTCTCATCTAAGCAGGAATCCCATCCTAGACCACTCATAGTAGCACAGCTCCTCTATGTAGTGTAGTGCATTGCTGCACACGTGGATACGGGTTTAGTAACATCCCTTTTTTTCTTTTCTGTCTGTGGTGAATTGTTTGTGCAACAGTAACTAACAGAGGAAAAGAAAAACCTCCAGTGAAGCAGTGTTCTGCCAGTGACCAGGCCCAACAAGAATGATACAGCCAGCAGAAAGAGAAACCAATATACAGATTGCATTGTAATCAGAAACATCATGATGTGAATGATCGCTGGGGGTACAAACAGATCAATCAGCTGGGACATAAACAACACCACCCCCAACGATCCCACAAAGGACACGACTGGGCCCACACCGGGGGGTACAAACAGAGACCCGAGGCTGCCCACAGCTGGCATGGGAAACAGCCAGAGCAGCAGCTGAACACAGCAGAGAAAGGTGCCCACAGGGCGACTCTCACCCGACCCGCCCGCGTTCACAAAGGTCTGAACAGCCTGGGGCCCAGCTCCAGGAGAGTCAGGAGGTCTGCCCTGAACCAGGCAGCTCTGGGGAGTGCACTCCACAGACAGACACTCCTGACTCCCTGCCAGTGCTCCCAGCTTTTATCCCCCAGCAGAGCCCTGACCTTTGTCAGCTCCCTGCGGGACCCCTGGGGCTCATTTCCCTTCTGGCTCTCCCTGCAGGGCCGGCCGCACCCTGGGGGGAAGCTCTAAGGCAAACTCACCCCTCTGGATGAAGGGCTGTGGGGATCACCCAGATGGCAACCTGAACTCGGGGCTCGGGGTTCAGACCCCAGCATTTCAAGCAGTGCAGGGTGGAAGGGATCACAACTGTTCTGCACTGGGCAGAGAAACAGGATGCTACAGGACAGATGCATACAGCACGTTGCAGAGGTTATGAAGGAGATGTACACGTGGGCCTGTGTAGACATATAAGTAGAGGATAGGTCTTCTAGTTGAGAAAATTTCAAAGAAATTGTCATAAACCCAAGCCATCACTGATTTATAAACCCATTCAGTATTTTACCAGCATTCAGGCTGCAGAATGAACTCTCCTAAGTACAGGAAGCAAATTCTTACTGCTATAGGAGCCTCTGTCCCATACATGCTGGATCTGAATTTGATTCAGAACTCTTCTCATATTTTCCTTCTAAAAATAAACCCCCAAAACGCTACTAACCAAAAGATGACTGGCCAATTCAATGCAATTGTGTGCCTTAGAAAGAAAGAAGAACAAGAAATGTCTGGCAGGCCTTTAGGCTTCTTCTCATGCTTCTGCTCTGCTTCAGCTCTTTCTGGGAATATTTATTTTCCATCCCAAGTCACGGTTCATGAGTTCTTGAACAGCTCATTGCCTGCTTCACATGGTAATTTTTTCAGTGTTTGATCAGCTTTCTGGACATATCTCTTTCTTTCTATCAGGGCATCTTTCCCCTACTTTTCTATTTCTAGCAGAGCTTAATTTTATTCACTTTAATACCTAGGCTCAAGATACCCTGAAGCCATATGTCAGAATAAGGGCTTCATATCTGTCAAAGACATGGGCAGCAGCCACCATGAAATATATACATATAAACCTATCAGACAACATAAAGCAGAACACTGAGCAAGCTGTGAGCTGTCTGTAAATCGCTGTCCAAACATTTTTTCCTTGAAGGTGCCTGTCCACAAACACCAGCAGCTGATGTATATAGGCCAGCTTCCATTCACAAGGATCTTTTTCTGCTCTTTTTGACCACACAGCATCTGGAGAATGAACCTGGATCCTGGATGGAACAAGTATTTTGGTTTCTTTTCTAGGTCCTCACTAATCTATATTACTCATTTTGGCAAGGTACATTTTTTCCTGCTTTGGAAAGTGCTATTCTTTCAGTGGATCAAGCTAGTTTTCATATTTCCAGCTATTAAAAACATGCACATTTTGAAATGGCTCCATATTTCAAATGCAAATCAGAATTGTTTAATTTTTTTTCATTCTTTCAGCTAAATTCTCCTGAATTAAGCACAGATTTGCTGAATTTAGCCCAGACTTGTAAGAAGTTTTGATCCATCTGAATTCATATCTTTCATCAATTCTGACACAAAAGCATTTTCTCCAATGTCTTACAAAAACAGTAGATGAAAGTTGATCTGTTAAGAAGGAATTTTAAGCTGATGTTTGAAAGCCCTTTTTCTTTTTTCTTACCAACCATTTAACAGCACTTAAAGATTTTTATGCTTTTGAGTGAAACAAGTTCTTGTTATAGGTTCCCACCTTTATCCATTCAATTAAGAGCTGTATTAAGTGCTCACAGTTAATATCTGTTGTGCCTCAAACTGGTCCTTTTGCTTGAAGCAAACAAATCTTTACCTTCATAATATTTCTGAGTTAAAGAAACAGAGAAGAGAAAAAAAAAAGAGATAAAAGAAAAAAAAAGAGATAAAAGAAAAAAAAAGAGATAAAAGGAAAAAAAAAGAGATAAAAGGGAAAAAAAAAGAGATAAAAGGAAAAAAAAAGAGATAAAAGGAAAAAAAAAGAGATAAAAGAAAAAAAAAAGAGATAAAAGGAAAAAAAAAGAGATAAAAGGAAAAAAACCCACACAAATACACCATAAATAAGGAGGAAAGTGCTGAGGACAATATAAAAATAGCCTGTGTAGTCCACCTGTAGAAGCAAGAGTGACAGGATAGGGAAGAGAAACAGAGAGGCACAAAAAGCACATTCCATTCAGCAGTACACTAGTGATAGGAGGGAAGTGGAATGTGGCAGCCCCTGGTTTTGGCAACACCTCAACCTCACAACCTCCTCCCTGAACGCTTCCTCACGTGAGGTAGGCAGGATACCCAGCCAGGGCTTACCTCTCTGAAGAAATGACCAGGGACAGGAGAGAGAAGAGGGGTTTAGTACAAGAGCACAAAACCAGCATGGCCCCTTGCTGTTCCTTGTCCAGAAAAGGGGTTTTGTGGGAGAACAGCACAAAGTCAGTGTCAGCCCTGCTGATCCAGACCAGAATAATGCAGCACCGCAGCAAGACCACGAGCTCTGAAATTCTCTACTTTCCACCTTTCCTCTCTATAACTGTTGTATATAAACCAAGTAATCATTGCTGGCTTTAAGAGTAAAATAGATCTACTTTGTAATATAATTACTTCAGGAAATGAAAGGCAGAAAAAGAAAGTGGGTCTTATTGAATCATATGAAAGATACACAGAGAGATTGCAAAAGTTGACGCATGAATTAGTGCCTGGGTGCAATGCTGCCTTACACTGAGATGTTCTACTGCTGAGAGAGCTCTGCAGATGCCAGCTCACTGCAGAGTCAAGGCCAGATCTTCAGCACTCTCCAAGGCAGCAGGGTTTCCCTGCCAGTCCTGCACTACAGGTGAAAGGTGGTGAACATTTGACTCCTTTACCCCCAGACTCTACCAACCGTGACTCCCTGGACATGATCGAGCGGTGCATCTGCCTGGTGTGCCTGGACAGCCCGAGTGGAGTGGAACTCAGTGACACAAAGATGGCACTGCAGCTGCTGCACGGTGGAGGCTACCATAAAAATGGGGCCAATCGTTGGTATGACAAACCTATGCAGGTAAAAAACCTTACAGTACTATCATATTATTTGCACAAGGCAAGGGACGCCAGTTGCCCTCATGGTAGGGACCACTTAGTGAGAGAAGGAGGGGAAGGTGATGTCAGCATCTGCCAAGGCAGGGATGGTGTGAGCAGCACTGTTCCTGCAAGGCAAGGGAAACAGTCTTGGTGGCAGTGGGGCTTTCTGCAATACAGGTGTGCTTTCACCTGCCCTGAAGTTGCCCTGTGCACTTGAGGAGGTAGACAGATACACAGACCTGCAGGTAGGTAGATGTGATAAAAACCCAAAGCAGTACACATTCAATCAAATGAAATAAAAATGCTGGACTAGCATCCCAGGGGAAAAAAAAAAAAAAGCACAACAGCTTTCTCTGTTTTCTCTTCTCACACATTTTCCTCATGTCCTGGAAATACTACTGCTAATAATTTAGCCTATGTTTAAGTTAGTATTCTCACTTAGCAGACTGTTTACTGATTTAATGACATCCTTGTTGAGATTCTACTGGAAGTATTGATTTCTCCAGTCTGCTTCCCAATTAGAATTTCATTGTCATATTTGAAAGTGTCACACGATCATCTTCACATTTTGCAGTAGAACCAGCATGAAGCAATGTATTAATCTCCAACTGTCAACAACATTGACACCTCATGAAAAATTGAAAAAAACCCTGACTAATACATTGCTTGCACAATACCTGTTGCTCTGGCCACATCTAAGAACAACAATGTGAAAAGAGAAACCACTAAACTAATTTCACTGGCACTGACTTCCCCCCAGTGCTAATACATCTCTGTAGTCACGCCTGATTTATGTCACTGCAAATGACATTATTAGCAGACTCTAGTGCTGTGCTTTTAAGGAACAAATAATTTGTCTTTAGTTAGAAGCCTTTCTCATTTGCAGGACCACTAATTGAGATGCTTCAAGCAGATGAGAATAAACAAGATTTTTGTTTACTAGCAGAAGGTAGCAGGAAGAAAATAAATTTGCTTGTGGGAGAGCTTCACCTGCCCAGACGTATTCAGGCCAGCAGTAGGTTAAAGGTGAAGAGAAATTCTTAGGGAAAAAAGATCCCATTTTCTTTCGTGCAAATGCTGATTATGTAGGAAGCCATTTTCACAGCAGGACTTGTTCTTCCTCTCCATATTCTTTTCCAGCTTAGCAGTAAGGCATCAGAAAAGATCCAGGCACACTTTTTTGCATCAGTTTTTACTCCGTGAAAACCTCACAGGAAGCAGGAAGGCAGGTTGTGTATGTGTGGTACAAATGTGCCGAGTGAGCTGAGTGGGAGAAGTCCAGTCAAAGACACTTCTAAAGAAGTGGACAAAAAAGTCCAGCAAAAGCATAATAAATAATAAGCATAATTCATAATAAAATGTGATCCTAAGGGAATTCCCAGATACAGCAGTTGCATTGCCCCCAAATGTGGAAGGAGAACCCTGGCCTGTCTTTCCAGTGACAAGTTTTCTATACCATAGAGCATGTCCTAAATCAAATTTCTGGACTCCAAGGGGAATGCTAAAATTTACAGTCTCACAGGACTCAGTTCAAAATAGCAGCATGGAAGGGATCCAGTGTAACACCACTGACAGGACAAGAGAGTCTCACCCAGTAAATCTGTAAGTCAAGAAAGTTCGTGATGTGAGCAACAAGAAAACCACAGGAGAAAAAACACCTCTTGCTAGGTTGCCATCATGGGTAACTTATCCAGAACATGACTTACTGACAATGTCTCTTCCATTTGTTCTTTTCTTTGCTCAGTTTGTGGTAGGAAGAGACGGGATCTGTGGCACTGTGTGTGAACATTCCCCTTTCGATGGCATCGTACTGGTGCAGTGCACTGAACATTTGCTCAAGCACATGTGAGTCCCTGCTCAGCACAACCATGCAACTGTTGGAAACCAGTAATTTACCTGCTAAAAATAGCAGTGTTTAACAAATAGAATATTCCTTTGAATTTAATGATTTTTCTCTCACATACTAACAGGAAAGAAAGCTCCAAGAAATTAGTTCGAGCTGATTCAGTGAGCGAGCTTCCTGCTCCACGGAGATTAAGATGGAAATGTTCCCCTGAAATTCAGACACATTTGGCATCAGCAGCAGAAAAACTCCAAAGGTAGAACAAATACCTAGTTTTTCTCAGCAATGACTGCCAGCTGGGAAGTACCCAGCACATTGTGTGAAAGCATGGGTTTCCTCTGAGAGGGCTCACCCTGCTCTGCTGATCCTCATCTGCCCAAGCTGGCCATACCCACCACCTCTTGGCAGGATGGCACCCTTATGGGCTGGAGCTACTTCACTGTTTGCAGGGATTGCATTACCATGGTTTTCCTTCTGTATAAATACTAGGAAAGCTGAAGACCACTGGGGAAAAAAAGATCTGAGTTCTACTTGCACAGGATGCAAACAGTGCAGGGTCTCTGCTTCTGTGCATGCATTTTGGGGGTTTGATCTGACTAGAGCCAAGGCAATGAGGATACATATTTGGGACAGTAGATTACAACTGGTTTGAATAAACAGTTTGAATTCAGGAATGTAATTTGTTAACATCCTTGTTGCTCCTGCAAATGTTAGTCCTGACTGTTTTTCCAGACTGTAAAAGATTTGCATGATCATTGGGGGTAGGGAAGGCAAGGAGAATTTTTGTTTTGTTCTCCCCAAATTATTTAATCTCAACATTCAGGCTTGGATGTCTCTGTAAAGAATTACCACACTGGCTGCATGATCAGCTGTATTTATGTCCAGTGTGATTGCACTTGATGAGACTTCAAAGTGTCTAGAAGCATACATTAGACTGAAAACATGCAGGATGCAGAATAATTTCTTTTTGTTTTTAAATAAAGGTAGTAGCCCTCTAAATTGAAACTTGCAAGGAGGTTACAGCCTCCATAAAGTTTTAAATCCACCCATTTCTCACACTGGTAAATCTCACAGAAATTTTGAGAAGAAAGGAAGCCCTGGTTTAGGCTTCAGGAGTAGGAACTCTATAGAGTTTTGGAAAAAAAGGTGTTTTACCCAAATGGAGAGAATGACCTGAATGCCACAGCTTATTTTAGGGCTGCAGGTAGCAAGCCCAGTCTAGAGCTTCAGTGAGTAAGTTACTGACCAGGAAATTACTGACCAAATTCCAGGACTGTCTGCAGAGCAGGAGCCTGCTCACCTCCAGGTGGGTGCAGGCAGGGAATGATCTCTGGGTTTTACTTGCAGTCAGAAATGGAAGGTGAGGTTCTTGCATCTCCCCTCCCTGTAACTGCCTCTGGTCTTTTTCCAGGATAGTAACAAACCTGGACTTCATTGCCTACAAGTTTGAGCACTATGGAAAGGAATTTATTAAGAAACAAAAGATAAGTCCAGATGCCTACATTCAGGTAGCACTTCAGCTGGCATTTTACAGGTAAGGTTAATTTTAATAATAGTGACAAGGTGGCACAAGAGGAGTTTCATAAATTTTTTTGTCCAGTGTTCATTTTTTCCAAAGAAAGAACGAACGCCTCCCAGATGGAAATGAGTGATCTTGCCTCATGACTGTAGGTCAGACAAGACAAAAATTGCCACCCAGTTCTGAGACAGAGTTCTCCTTTTCTTCACTCCCTTCCCCTCTGCTTCCTCTCCCTTGCCATCCCTGTGTCCTTCACGTGCCATTCCCACCCAGTACCCTCCCCACAGCTGCCCTGTACGTAGAGAAGAGGGTGAGGGGATGTGGCAGGGAGTGGCAGACAACCCTGCAACCCACAGCAGGAGAAGCAGCTAGGGAGTCCAGGTCCCCAGGGCAGAAACACTGTCTTGCCACTGTGGGTAGCTTGGGAGGAATCATGGCAGGAACCCATAGCTCACCACGGATTCATTCTCCAAACCACAGGGTGAAGAGCATTCACAGGGAAAAATACCACAGCAGCACATAGAATCCTAGAATCCTTTAGGTTGGAAGGGACCTCCAAGATCATCAAGTCCAACCCTTGAGCCATTAGGGCTCTAAAGTCCTCTGCTCAAACAGATCAGAATCTGTCAGGGTTGGAAGGGACCACAAGGATCCCCCAGTTTCAACCCCTCTGCCATGAGCAGGGACACCTCCCACTAGATCAGGCTGCCCAGAGCCTCATCCAGCCTGGCCTTAAAGACCCCCAGATGAGAGTTCCTACACAAGATGGTGATGACTGCTGCTTCCTTCTCCATGCACATCCCAGGACTGGATAATATCCTCTCATTTCCATGGGATTATCAAAGTTAAAAGCTCCTTTCTTCATTGTCAGAACAGTTACCACTCCAGGCTAGGGAGAGTTGCCTGGTTTCCTGCAGAACAGCCTGCCACACAAATAGTTCTGTACAATGTCAAATTAAATCCTGAAACAGCCTATACCTGGTCAAAACCAGAGGTGCCTAGCACATTTTTCATCCTACATTAACACCTGTTAAACATCCATTTTGCATATTCCATTAATTAAACTCCAACAATGACCTGGTCCAAGACTTTCATCCAGATCCTGGCCCTGCCATACATCCCATGTGTGCCACAAAACCCTTAGAGGACAGCTCTGTTCTGAGCACAGTATCTATATATTGGGACCTAAATAGTAGCTATATATCTGGACATAAATTAACCAAGTCTTCACACACTGTTCTGTTTGCTATGTGGGTTTTCACACCAGCTCACCATCTTAAATAGCACCCTTTTCCCCTTTTATTTTTCTCTTTTTCATTCACACACAGAGTGCTTTTTTTTCTTTTTTTAAATGAAACATATTTCAAGCCAATAAGTAAATGATTAATTACACAATTATTCTATGGTGCAGTACAAATAAAACATTCCTTGAGGTCTTTCAGTAAATTTTAGTTTTACAAGCCTTGTTTTTACACAGCAAGTCATTTTTTACTGGCAAAGCATAACTAAAATGTATACAGCTCTATGCAGCGCCTCATATTAGAAAGGAGTGAGCATCCATCTTTTTTAAGTTTCTCAGAGAATTCTATCAACATTAAGATGAATACTATGCAAAAAAAAAATAAAAAAGGCTGTAACAATAAAACTTACCAAGCCTGTATTTCTTTTAATCTTTATGGCTCCTTGAAAATAATTATTCTTTGTTTTATTTCATTCTCTCAGATGTCACAGGAGGCTGGTCCCTACCTATGAAAGTGCTTCCATACGCCGCTTTGATGAGGGCAGAGTTGACAATATTAGGTCTGCCACCTCAGAAGCATTTGCTTTTGCAAAAGCAATGACTGATGTCAAGACAGGTCTATCGGTACGTTGGTCTGGCTCCCTCCACTTTCTTGGGCAAAATGCTAAGCCAATAATGCACTCCTGATCTCAGGCTCTCACTTTTAAACTGTTAAACGAGACTGGAAAGGCACAGGGCAGGGCAGCAAGCCTCACAGGACTTTGCTTTTTGTGCAAACCAACCCCTAACCTAATAAAAATTACCTTATTTAACCACCCAGAAGGTTCAGAGGTGCCTAAACATTATAATTATAATATGACATGACATTATAAGGAACAAAACATGTGATTTGAGATCATTCACAAGACAGTACTAAGCCTATCATCAGGGCCAAATTCTGCTCCCTGGAGAGATCTAGGTTGAATGTGCAAAATTCCACATCATTATCTTGCCACACAAGGGGGATTGTTTGGCAGACCCCCTGCAGCAGATAGCCATGCTGCACATTGTGATGGATCAAGGGATACAACTCACATGCTTTGATTTCTGGGTAAGGTAGATATTTTCTGGCTAAGGTAGACATTTTCTGGCTAAGGTAGATACTTTCTGGCTAAGGTAGATACTTTCTGGCTAAGGTAGATACTTTCTGGCTAAGGTAGACCTTTTCTGGCTGTTCTTCTTGGTTTTAAAGGTATGTTGCTATCAAATAGAGTTGGTTTTATAGGATCCTCAAGGGGGCTGAACCTTTACGATGAAAAAACTTCATCAAGGTAATAAACCAACTCTCCAAACTGCCCTGGCAGCATCCTGCAAAACCAAAAATTAAATGGCCTTGCTTTGAGACACCACCATCTGTTTGCCAGAAGCCTGAGTACTGTACATAGTAGACGGTGACACAAAGAGGTGCAGCTGAGAGAGCTGAGACTGTAGCTGCACAAACAGCTTTGTGCACTGTCCTGCCTGCCATCCCTAGAGAGCCTCCTTCAGTGCCTCTCTGTGTGCTGCTTCCACCCACTGCACTTAGCTGCCCTACAGGGAATTTCCAGGTGGCTGTTCAGATGCAAAAGGCTGCCACGAAATAGATGATATTGCATTGCAACTCCACTTCAGTGGCCACAGCCCACATGGCTCCTCTTTAGAAGCTAGCACAGCATTGCTAGAAGCATTGCTGGGCTGCAGATGAGTGAAATGTTGCAAACCAAGCTCTAATGGCCCAGAGGAGGAGGAAAATTTGCCCAGAGAAGCACCCTGTTCCTTCAATCGCTTTAAAGCTACCGTGCCCATGAGTCACTCAGCTCATGATGAGCAAGACTCAAACAAGTTCCATGTTAAACTGGTAACCCAAATGAAACCTGAAGTAATTCCCTACA